CATCCTACAGAGGGTTACACGTTGCAGTGTAAGAATCAAAGTGTTGCTTTTGTGCTTGTCCACCCAGCCAGCGCCTCTAGGCTCAATAGACAAATACACAGTTCACGGTCTCCTGGTTCTCTGCCAAAACCACTTTCCTGCTGCAAGGCACACCTCTCAGGCCCTCCCCTCCACTTTCTGGCCCCTCCTGGTGCTCTCTCCTTTGCTCCACAGCCAGTTCTCCCTTCCCATTGCACCCACCCCTACCTCCTCCCCCTCCCCTTCCGGTCCCCCCAGCCCCCTCCTCCCCCCCTCCTCCACAGCTGTTCTCAGGACTAGCAGCTAATGGAGGAAGAAGACTGCGTCCTAGTCCCAGGAGGAGCCTGAAGCAGGGCGGAAGGTCAAGGAGCAGGGGGTCTCCAAAGACAGGAGAACGGAGGCACCAGAGTACTGCTCACTGGTCACCCACTGCCTCCCTGTGCAACCCGTGGCAAGTGGCAGCCCCTGGCTGTCATGCCCTCAGTGCGTGGCACAGGGAGGTGCCCAAGATCCAGAAGTATGTCCAGGGATGGCTCTCTTTTTCCTAAATGCATCCTCACCTGTCATATAAATCACAGTTCCCCAAAGTGTGATGTGCGGATTACTAGACCCCTTGAGATGATTCACGGGGCAAGAAACGTGTGCTTTCTATTTCAGAGATTTGGATTTCTTTTTACAATCACCTTTTATTTATGAGAAGCAATGGTGGCTTTCACACACAGTCATGTTATCAAGTTTTCTGCTGAAATTAATTTTGTCAAGGAAAAACATGAGCCAATTTAAAGAAAAGTAGAAAGCAAGGAATTGCACGGTGGAATGCACGTATGGCGAAAAACCACAAAGGGGATAAGCTAATGACTGATGGCCGGTGATCCTGACATAAACTGCCTAAATACAGACCCACCCTCAGACCCACCTTGGTCCTTGGTTAATTGAGGACAGGTCAGAACCACCAACTGATTCAACGGACAAATGTTTACCAAGAGCCACTGCTGCGTCCAGGACCGTGAGCATCACAGAGAAGCAACCCAACTTCATGAAGCTCATCGTTCACTTGTTGGAAAGAACAGGTCTTCATTTGCAGAAACTGCTACAGAATGAAGCGAAACAGTATGTACAGGAGGGAAGCAGATGGAGAACGGTGGGGCAGCAGGGACAATAAAAGGGACCCCAGGATTGGCTGGGGTGACTCCAGAGGGGGGGCTCAGGAGGTACAGAGATCGACTTCAGAGCAAAAGAGCCCTGACACAGTCCTTCCACGGCGACCTCACCACCTGGCTCCCAGGAAGTCACTTCAGGCCCCTGGTGCCGTCCCTGGCAGCAGAGAGAGCCACCAGAGGACAGTGCTTCTAAAAGCGTGAGAAAAGGAGGGACACCGGGGAGTCATTTCCCAGGCTGCCCTGTGCCCGCATGGAAGGCTCTTCTCAGGTGGCACAGGGAACCTCGGCTCTGTCTGCTCAGGCCTGACTGAGGGCCATTCCCTAGACAGCTTCCATCAATTCTCCGCTTTCCTGAGGGGGTGCTCCTCGCTCTCAAACTCCTAACGCTGCTCGGTCTGTGAGAGACTCGTCTTCCTTCCCAATCTGAAGCTGACTCAGGAATCCGGGGACCGGAGCTTTACTGAGTGGGAACAGAGGCAGGCACTCACAGCTGCTGCGTTTTCCTCTAAATCTTGAGAGTTGACACCTTTGGGTGCCTTTTGGTGCCTGTGTGAAGGCACCTGCAGGTGGGGCCTTTGGGAGGTACCTGGGGTTAGGTGAGATCGTGGGGATGGGGCCCTCACGATGGGACTGGTGCCCTTAGAAGAAGAGACACCAGGGAGCTTGTTCGTTCTCTCTCCACCACATGAGGACACAGCAAGAAGACAGCCATGAGCAAGCCAGGAAACGTGCTCTCAACCCAACCATGCTGGCACCCTGAACTCAGACTTCCAGTCTCCAGAACTGGGAGAAAATCCATGTCTGGCATTTAAACTGCCCAGCATACGGTATTTTGTTATAGCAGCCCAAGCTAAATAAGACATCCATACTCCTTACCCTGGCCATCGGCCCTAAAGTACTCATCTCCTGCCACTCTCCAGACATCACTCACTAGGCTCCAGCCACGCCAGCCTCTTTTCAGTTCGGTGAACTAGCCAAACTGAGTGCCAACCTCAAGGCCTCTGTACTTACCTTCTTCTGCCTGGAAGCAGCCTCTCCTGATCTTCATAGGGTGGTCTTTTTGTATCATTCAAGTTTTTTGTGTCATTCAAGAAATAATCCCTATTCAGGGAGGTCATCCCAGATCACCCTCACTGACAAAGGCCCTTCGACGCTGTATCTTCTCATTACTTCCTTTGCTGCATGAGACCAGCGACTCTGCCCATCTTATTCACCACTATACCCCACAAAGCCCAGCACAGCACCTGGCACATCAAAATGCTCATCAGATATCTATTGAATAAATGACTGAGACACAAAAGTCTGCCCTCCACTGGTTCAGCTGGAGAGCCGGGCTGTTGGCGGGAAAGGGGCGACACCGGCAGAGGGCACCACCATCAGCTTAGCCTGTGTTCAGAAGTTTCCCGGTCGGCGAGCCAGCTCAAGCAACCCCTCCTAAGGAAACATGGCCAGTGAAGAGCTCGGCAAATGGAGCCCGAGGCTGGCCAAAAGACGGTCACACTCTAAAATATGCATGACCAGATTTTGCGCACCGTGCAAGTTTTATCTTTGACCGTACTTATGGAAACATTATTCAAGAACATCGTGAACACACAAAAATAAATCTTTAAAAATACCATTTGAATGACATACACATACGAATGAAAGATTTTTCTCCCTCTACTATAGCAGTCCATTAAGGCATTTTTAAAAAGCAAATGTGAGAAGTTACTGCACACAGTAACCTGCAAATAAAAACGTACCCAATCACTACCCACACAGCTGTCCCCAGATGAAACCCACCCCAATCTCACCACCTAGATGGAGCCACCTGAACCAAGAGAGGTGGAGGGGGCAGCTCCCCAACTCTGTTCCCTGCCGTCTGAGGATCTGAGGATGCCCAAGGCAACAGAAGGTCACAGTTTCTACGGAGACTCGAATGTGAGTCAGAGAATGGCCATCACCTCCTGCTTTGATCATTGGGGAAAACACTGGCTATTCAGTGCCTGCCAGGTGCCAAGCACTGAGCAAGGCATTCTGACACACTAACTCATTTAATCCTACAACAACCCTCCCAAGTACATGGTCTTATCCCTGGGCTTATGCTGAACAGACTGAAGTTCAGAGAGGCTAAGTAACCTGGCCTCAGTCACACAGCTAATCAGTGTCAAGGCTGAGATGTGAACCTCATGGCATCCTGATCCAAAGCCCCTGCCCTCCCCCCACCGCCACCCAGAAGGCATTCCCCACTTTCACACTCCATAGATTAACTCTCGTTGCTCTTCATCTCCGCCATCAGCTAACTGACACCAAGGGCCCAACACCTTCCTCTTTTCTATCTCTCCTAAACACGCCCCACATGGCAGGCCTACAGTGAACATCATGTAGTTGATGCAAGCATACCCATGCTTCTCAGAGTCGCCCCGTCTGGCCAGTCTCTCCTTTCCTCTGCCTTCCCCTGGAGGGCGCTTTTCTCCCTTTTTTCTCACCAATTATCAGCCTTCTTGCTTTAGCTGTGTGTGTCTAATTTATCTTGTTACCCATTTCCTTAGTTTGTAACCTTGCCAAAAAAACAAGAAGTTTCGGGAAATATTCTTTGGCTTCCTTTTAGATTATAATCTTACCTTTGGTTCCTTTCCGTTTCTTTGCTTTGAGGTCTTTCCTTTAATTTTCTCTCTTTCACTTATTTCTCTTCCTAGTTCTTCTGCCTTTTTCAAGGTTTTAAGATCTTAGGAAGAAAAGACATATAAGTATTATATATACATACATAGGTACTGAATTCCTTTGACCATCAAGTTAACTAAAATCACTTTGATCAGCATCAAAATGAAAGTGTTTTGCAATATGATCCATAACCCTTATTGTTCACTGGTAGGGACGGAGAAGTGGGTTATGACTTCCAGGACAATAATAGAAAACAAAGAATTGGGAATTTGAATACTCATGTCCAAATCTGGACTAGGACCTTCCCAGCTATGTGTGTCTTGGGCAAGAATCTCTGAGCTCGAGGTTTTCATTAGTAAATGGGATTAATAATTCTATCCCTCCCAAGATTATAGAGAGGTTTAAGGGAGCGACATGTATGAAAGCACTTTCAACCTATAAATAATTCCAGCACAAAGCAGTATGGGATCAGGGCCTTGGCTGAACTATGAAATGCCACAAGAGTTGGAAGGACACCCCCTAACCCTTCAATCACCCCTCCCCACCAGCCTGGGCTTCCCCTCCCTAAGTCCCAGTTCTGCTAATGGAACCAGGAGGCATTTTGTCCTCCAGTAACCACACATACACACACACCAGACACATACTTAATCTGCTGGGAGTCAGGGACTCTCGTAGGTGCTAAGGATTGAACATTGACCCTGGCAGACAACATCTCCTTCGGGGCACTTATAATTCATTTTGAGTGGGAGAAAGAATAAGACACAACAAAACATTTAAATAAATAAACAAGGTAAGAACTGGGCAAAGCCCTTGATCTGTGGGAACAACCTGTACGAAGGTCCTAAAGCAGGGAAGGGGGTGGCCTATTTGCAGTATAGAAAGAAGGTGCTGGAAGGGAATGAAGAAGGGTAAGGGTGGCTCCCATGAGGCCTTCAAAACCAGCAGGGCCAGATTCTGCAGTGCCGTCCAGCCCATGGTGAGGAGTGTGAAACTGATTCGAAGGAGGCCTCTAGATTAAGCAACTGAGTGGTATGATTTGGTTTGGGGTTTATTTTTGTTGGTTGGTTTGGTTTGGTTTTTCTTCAATCTGGCTACAGTGCAGAGAATTTGGACTGGAGAGAGTGCTGGTGAGCAAAAGAAGAAGCAGAAGACCAGCTGGTTAATCCCACAGCAATATATAAGACAAAGATGACCCAGATGGTAGCAGTGGAGGGAGGTGAATGGAATCCCATGTATTTCACAGTCAGGAATAAGAATCTGGCAAATTCTACACAGAAGCATGAAGGGAGGAAGAAAAGACTTATCTTCATATCAAAGACGACTCCTGGTGGGAGAGGGGAGGAGTTGCTGGAGCACCCAGAAATGTGGTGATGGCACTGATTGAGATGTCTGTGGAGGAGAAGGGGAGGGACACAGTGCAGGTGCAGGAGGGAATGCTAAGAGAGGCCTAAACTTCCATCATTTTCCCCAATTACTCATCACATATACAAGCTGGTCATCTTGCCAGTTTGTCCCCACAAGCTTCTCAAAATCACTTCTTCCTTTCCGTCTCTAATTTGCCATTTGATTTCTCAGTGTGTTCCTTCCTCAGAGGTCTCCCCCTCCAGTCCATCTGCTGCACCCACACTAGCTCCACACCCCAGGACTTCCTGGAATGGGGGGTAACGCGCTGGCCTCTATTGCTTAAGACTTTTGCATTGGGTTTTCAGTTACTTGCTGAAGGCAGACATCTCAGGCCCTCAGGGTCTAGCCCTGGTCAATGCACTACCGTGAGTCCTCTCCTCCACAAACACCATCCTGCCCAGCCACACCAAACCATCCAGCTTAAAACCTGCCTGCCAAACCTGCCTGCTCATTCTCTCGCTCCCTCTCTCTCTCTCTGGATGCAAACTCCAAGAAAGCCATATGCACATATAACCAGGAAGCGGGCTCTCACCAGGAACCCAACCAGGCTGGCACCCAGATCTCAGACTTCCAGCCTCCAGAACCATGAGAAAGAAATGTCTGCTTGTAAGTCACACAGTCAATAGTATTCTGCTACAGTGGCCCCAACGGACTAAGACTATCAGGTTCTAAAGTTTTCAAAGTGAAAGCCTTCAAGGGTCAAAATTAATCTTAAAAGTCCTGTCTACCATATACTAAAATACAGCATCCATGTTATGTGTCCTGTACAGTAATTCTTCTCCCCATTGAACTTTGAGAAGCACTGAGTTCCACTAAAGGGGAGAATCACCTTAGAGGCTATATGACAATGTCTCTCATTCAAATCACCCTCTTTAAAACAATCAATCCTTAATGGTGAGCATGTATGGAAAGGTGTGATAGAGAAACAGCTGGGAGTGGATGGATACTACTACAGTGGGGTTTACTTAATTTTTGTTATTAATATTTTGCCTCAGTGACCTTAACCCCCAGTACACCAGGAAAAAATTGTCAGCATCACTTACCATCAGGGTCCAATACAGCCTTTTTATTTTTATGGGTAATTTATGGAGGTAATAATAAAGGGATAGTGTTTAAAACTTTATTACAAAATTTAGGGTGTCTGGGTGGTTCGTTGGTTAAGTGTCCGACTCTTGATTTGGGTCCAGGTCATGATCTCAGGGTTGTGAGATCGAAGCCCTTATCAGGCTCTGTGCTGGGCATGGAGCCTGCTTGGGATTCTCCCTCTGCCCCCCTCCCCGCCCCGTGCACATGCGCACGGCACCCCCCTCTCTCTCTCTCAAAAAAAAATTTTTTAATAAAACTTTATTACAAAATTTAATGGTTTTAATATAGCAAATTTTCATTCCCTTTTTCCTGACTTTGAAGATATATAAACTCAAAATGTGCAATGTCCTCTGTATGCAACTAACTGTTCATCACCTGTCATGCAGGAACCTGGGACAGATCCATCTTCTCAACACTGATTCCAGATCTCAAGTAAATCTCCAGTAAGTTCTAGCTTATCATTATTTCTGGTTCTTCTTGCACTTGCATGACAAAACCAGTTACTTTTCAAACCTCTGATGATTCATAAGTTTTTTAAAGAGATGGATCTTCTTTTCTCCAAACTTGCAAAGGATTTTTATGTGTATAAATACCAGCAAGAACTAGTCCAATAATTTTTTTCCATTTCTATATCATTTATCTCCTTTTGATTGCCTTGTAAACACATCTGACTTCATCATTTGTTCCCTGCAAACCTTATCAGGGACATTCTGGTAACCAAACACAAGAGGTAAAAGAATATTGGCTCCCATTCTTTTAGCAAAACAGGATGGTCCAGGTTCTTGTTGCAAAATATTGGGTGATGAAATCATTCCTGATGAATGACTAACTGGATAAGAATATCATAGTTTCTCTTTGTCAGAAAGATACTGTTTATTCATCATTCAGGAGTCTGAGAAAAATTCATCCAGATTACTATCTTGTAAGACTCACAGTCTGAGATTTTGCTTACATAAGCAATTTTACTAGCATTATTAGAGTCAACAGCACTGCTGTCCTTTCTGATGTGTCTAACTGTGATAAAACATTTTCCTTTGTCAATTTTCTTCTCTTTACCATTTTGTTTAGGAAATGAAAAATTCTGGATTCTCAACTGGATGCAATGAAAGAAACAAAGATGGTGTCTTCCATCTTCTACACCTTCTTGAAAGATGATGTAATAGGCTAAGGAATGTAACAAGAAAGTGGAAAGGTGATGCAGTAGTGATGGTTTATTTCACTGTTGTATCATCCTTCTAGGTGGTGATTCTACCACTCTTCTGTTTTCTTATTATTTTAGTGTTTTTAGCATAAAATAATTAGCAGTAATTGATGGGTAATGATGAAATAATTCCTAGGATAATAAAATGGAAAATGTTGGGGGTGCCTGGGTGGCTCGGTCAGTTAAGTGGCTGCTTTTGGCTCAGGTCATGATCCCAGGGTCCTAGGATCGAGTCCCGCATCGGGCTCCTTGCTCAGCGGGAAGCCTGCTTCTCCCTCTGTCTGCCACTCCTCCTGCTTGTGCTCTCTCTGTCTCTCTCTGACAAATAAATAAATAAAATCTTTTAAAAAATAAAATAAAAATAAAATGGAAAATGTTTCAAGATATAAGAAAAATAAGATCACTAAGATCCCATGAAGTACCTTAGGTTTATAAATGGTTCCAATGGTCCCATATGGTAAATTCAAGAAAGAATGAGTCTTATTCTGTTTTTGTTAAAAAGTAAATGTTTTCTTTGATCTTTGGAAGATTTCTTTAAAAAGAACAAAAGTCACAAAACATCAACCTTTACAAACAGAACTGCTAAGGAAAAAAAAAAAAAAAACTCAGAAACCAAAACTAGGTCCAATGGACCCTGATTGTACACTGATAGTTAAATCATATTTATAGATTTGGTTGTTTCACAAAGACTTTCAAAATGTGGCCCACTGGAAAGGTACCCCACAAAAAGACTCTTTCCTCACCTACTTGAAATCCATCAGTTCTCAGACCAGCGTTGAACCCCAGCCACGAGAGCTGCACAGTTACCAGCGCCCCCCACGGACACTAAGCAGCCCCTCGCCTGGGACATTTTCTCTTGGAGTTCATCTTGGCACACAATGAGGAAGCAAAAATGATGACCCAAGGAAAACAGAGAGGACTTCCAGAATACTATTCAGGCTTCAAAGCAAGGCACCAACAAAACTCAGGCCACAATCAGACACCCGATGTGTACTGCTTTATATTCTTTCCAGTAAATGAATTTATGGTGAGGGAGACAATGTTCCTATTCTCTTGGGGTTTTTTAAAAACTCTTTTTTATCTTTTGTGTTTCCAGTCAATCCATGAATACACTGCGACTATTAATCTATGACACAGAGGAAATGTCCAATTTACAAAAGTGATGTGTTCTAAATCTTTGGGAGTTGTTTTGGGCACTCAGAATTTATTTTCCTTCAATAAATTACATTATAAATGATGGTGAGGTTTCCAAACCAGACCCACAAAAGCCTTAATTCATAACAGTGTTGAAGCCCTGTACTTCTCCGGTAAAAATTAGTAGAAAGCAATTTTGTTGTAGTACTAACAAACAAACCCAAATATTGAAGACATAT